CCACACCCTGACTCCCATATTTACAACTAGCATGAAACAATCCCAGAACACGATCTCGTTTTAAACTGCAAATCACTAGTTATTGGGTTGACCGATAAATATTTCCGGGCATACAAATTCGAGGCTCTAAAAATACAGGCATGCATCACATAGCTAAGCTTTTTGTGGAAAGGTAGCTCCAAAAGCACTAAACATATCTTTCGGTTAGAATTTTCTATGAATAATAGAAGCAATTACTCCTACATATAGGCAGGCTTCTCAAAAATACTACTTTGAATTGTTTTTTTCCATGTCCTGTAAGCGCTCAGACGAGTAATGGTGGCTGGATACGTACAGTTGTTATCTACATGGCGAACAATGAAGATCATGTGCTGCTGTTTTAATTTCCGCAGCCAAAGATGTGAGAATTTCCAAGCATTTGACCGCCATGCTCATCTTTTGGGCAGTCCGGATTGCTTATATTCGACCATCTACCATTCGAGCAAACGATTGAATTATTGAAATCAAATGTGTATGTATCAAAAACATTCTACAATGTGCAAGCGACTTGCTTACACTTGTAAATAACTAACTTATTTCAAACATTTTGAAAATTCAATTTAGCCTTGCAAAACAAATTTTTAGGGGCCTTCTTCTGAAATTTCGGGGTTATGGGGTCGCAAAAATTTCAGGAAGCATACCAAGAGATTTTTCGGTGTGCGTGGATGCACATTCATCAGTCAAAAGTTTCTATCCTCTCCCCCTCCCCTCCCTGAACGGAAATCCTGGGTATGCCACTGCTATAAACCCTTGAGATAACCGAGACTATTTTTAAGCTAGTCTAATATTTTGCATCAACAATTTGCCTGTTACTAGATTTTCAGTTCAGTTTAGGACCATTTTTACCTAGATAATAATATATTATCACGTCCGCATCTTTCTCATCTCATAAGAGTTCATGAGCAGGATCAAGCGTGGGGTGCGGCACGCCACACCTGGGGGGTCGTATTGAGGAGTCAAAAGGGGAGGGGGTCGTAGTTGGGTAATCTGATAATAGTGATAACCAGGGTTGAGCAAGAGGTCAGGCACAAGTCTTTCCAAAACGACCCCCCCCCCCAGTGAAAGCCCCTAAACGACCCCTCTGCTTCACCTCCAGGACCTCAGGCTGTGATAATTCGAAGAGATCAGCCGTTTTTGGGAGGTTCTTGTTTTTTGGAGGTCTGTAGGTCGACTTTCTGCGATTGCACAGCACACGCAACTTGACGGCAAGTTTTGGATTTTGGATAGCCCTACTTTTAGAGCTATAATTCCCACAGGGGTGTATTGTTTGGCTCCAAATTTGCAGTATTGCAAGAAGAGGCTTTGAGTTCAATACTCATAGCAGAAATGGAGCGATTTTTAGATTTTGAAAACAAGTTAATCGGGTCAGGCGCAACCCCTCAAAAGCTCAGGCGGCCTGACCTTTTATGGGGTTGCGCCTGACCCGATTAACTTCATCATTGAAGAAGCTTTTTTATTCAAGTTTTATGTGAATCGCTAGCACAACCCTCGAAGATTCCACAGTAAGTGTTTGGACTTGATTCGACTTGTTTCGGCCTTGTGGTAATCCGTGAAGTTGAAGCAGTCATGAAGAAAAACGCGCCGGTCGGAATTTTGGCATTATTTCTTACTCCACTTTGCAAGCGATACAAAGCGCGATTTTTAGCCTAGACTAGTAGGGAACAATACTTTGTTACGAGTACAAAAAAATTGACTTTTCTCACTTTTGAAAACAAGTTAATGATGTTTGAAAATCACGCTTTTTAGTCGTTGAGAAACACTAGATAATGCTGTAAATAATGGTTTGTAGGGCTCATAGAGGTAATTTGACGTGCTCGGAAATGATACCCATTTCACCCAGCAAGCTTCCTTGATGAATTTATAATATGTCAAGGTAGAAGATGAAGATTTGAGTTTTGGCCGAAACTTCGATTGTGGAATCAATCGGTATGCTGTTTAAGACCGTTCATTCCTTCAGTACTGGTGAGGTCGCGATATCCACTAAACTAGCGCTTTTCTTCTTCACCTTAATCGTAGTATCTCCTCAATCGAACGAATTCGATTCCTAATCACGACCCCCCCCCCTCTGTCTTACCCCAGTACGACCCCCCAGGTCGGGCGCGCCTGACCCGACGCTCAACCCTGGTGATAACATGATATTTGTATCATATCCATAATTAGCATGTCAATTAACCCCTTTAGACAAAGTGTGAGCGAATTCTGAATATTCAAGATACTAGGCTACCTAAATGAAATGGTCAAATTCCAACATGGTTAACTTTGTTTCAAAGGTGAATTAGCTATCCGTTTTTACACTCAAGACAAAGCACTACTCCTTCTTTGTCCACCTCAGGAATCCCGCTTCAGAAGACCTGCAAACTGTGGAATTAGAAGCCAACCAAAATCTCGTTTTTCCCATTTTTCGCTTTTGATCGATGTGCTTTCACCAAATATTACTCAGAGCTAAGAAGACGAATCAGGCTCCAAACAGTCCTATGGAATCTACAAGGTTTAGGCTATCGTTTCATATATATGCTGTCCGCTAAAAATGTTTTTTTTTTGATATAGTTAATGGGGTGCGGCACACCCCCTTAACTTGCCTTCAAAATCCAGAAAGCGCTCCATTGCTGGTATGAATATTGAGCACATAGCTTCTTCTTGCTACACTGGAAATTTGGAGCCGAACGCCCCACCCATAAGAAAATTATGGCCCTTTCAATATGCCCATTCAGATCAAAATCAGCCGTCAAATTACGTGTAATTGTATGTAAAGTGTAGTCACAGAAAATCGGGCCTACAGCTCTCAGAAATCTGAAAATTCTCTAGAAAAAGCTGGTGTTCTCCAGAATGTCACACTTTGAGGTCCAGAGGTTAAGAGGAGGAAGAAGGGGTCGTTTGAGGGCTTTCATGGTAGGGGGGGGGGTTGTTTTCGAAAGACTTGTGCCTGACCTCTTTCTCAACTCTGGTAATGCTATCTTAGGTATATAGTTCAGAGGGGGGGGGGGGGGTCTTATTAAGACAGCAATCAGGGGGGGGGGTCGTAACCAGCGATCGTGTGCCACACCCCTTGCTTGACCCTGGTTCATGAGTAATTTTCTGATACTTACTAGAAACAAAAAAATTCGTGCACTTTATTTCAACTTCGCTTATGAATGGCTTGTTCCAAAATTTTTAGAACCTAAAAAGCGGCATTATCTCGAATGTAAAACTATTATTAAAAAATCAGCAGCGGCTTTTCAGGATTCGAAAGAATTCGCAGTTTCCCTCACGATCTTTGTGCGACCGTTGCACAATCTTTCTGTTGACATAAGCAAGAGAAAGGACGAGCGAGGAATTTGCACATTCTTGAAAGTCGCTTCGTTTGAAGCTTGATCAATACGATATTGATCACGCTTTTTGAGTAACGCCATCATATGCTTTCTTTTGGTCACAACAGAATTGTGCAAGGATCGTGCGCAAAGAGTTGAAGATGCAAATTTTTGTTGCTATTCATCGATCTGACAATGCTTTTGAAGGTAATCCTTACTCCTACTTATGACTATTTTGGTACAATTTGAGTTCCATATCTTAACCGAGAAACCATTATTCTTTCATTCTATGGTTTTATGGCACACATTACCTGTGCGTGGAAGACTTTTAATGTTACGCATTTAGTTCCTTTGATATGACTTAGACAATTTCGATCTCTTGGGCAAGTAACCTAGCAAAACGACAATCTCACAAATTTGCTAATCGCAATTTTTGAAGCTCTATCGCGCATTTATATCCACATAAGTCGCTGAAACACGGAGAAAGTGGTAGCGGTAGGTAGTTTTCTCACAAATTTGCTAATTGCAGTTTTTGAAGCTCTATCGCGCATTTATATCCACATATGTCGCTGAAACAGGGAGAAAGTGGTAACGGTACATAGGTAGTTGAAATGAAGGCTTAGTTAGTTGTGGACTTATACTCAGGGCTCGGCATGAGGTAGCTTTCCGAATATGCAAAAAACGAAGTTCCTATGACTTTGGCAAAATTTACGAAGTCCTTTTTGACCGAAAGGAAACGTTGACTATAAAAACCTAACCTAACTTGTGTTTTTCAGACCGCAAAAACGATTTCCTCTTCTCTTTTTGTTCCAAAAAGCCTATCCAGCTTGTTTATAAACCACCTGTGCGGAGCCCTGCTAGTATCGCCCAGGTAGTAGCTCTGATCCGGACTATTTCAAAGCGGTGGATAACATCAATACATCATGCTCCCTTAAGTCGGGCACTTGCGTTCTTTCCCAGGTGCTATTGGTTTTCAGAAAAGTGTCTCTCAACGAGCATAGTTTCGAGATCAGTTCAGGGCGAGCATTCGGATGCTAAATATTTCAATGAACCGCGTCCACAATTATTTTTCCCTTAATAGTTTGCTTTGGTCTCGAACGCCCACTCCGAAAAAATCGGCACCGCAAGCAAACAATATCAAGCGGAAGATCCACTGGAACAATTTTTGGGGATGGTATAGTGGTGTAAACGAAAACAAGTCACCTGCAGATTTTTCTACACCGCTTAGGCTTCCTTGAGTTTTTTCGCCAAAAAAAAGTTTTGGACTGATTCTCTGGGGGGGGGGGGGGAAGTGGGAAGGGGACTTTGCGTTTTTTCACCATTGCTACACCCACTCGGAGTTTGAGGCTGCGTGATGAATCATGCATACTCGAACCACCCTTCGTTCTCGCTTGGAGTTTTGCACAGTGACATCTTTCTCCAATTGAAGTGAATTGGCAATATTTGACACCAGTTGAACTAACCACATAACTCCTTCAACGTTCAACTTGAATGTTTGGTTAGTGATGTTGGAGCTCTGCCGCAACGGCGAGATATCGCAGGTTTTGGTCGAGATTGCACAACACCGGTGCAAATTCTCGCAATGATTTTGATTGCTGCAAGCCTCACTGTCCGCAGTATGCCGTCACATGCTGTCTCATTGCTCCGCTCTCGTTTATTCTTTACAGCGCGATTCGAAAAGCAAAACATGATGCACTCATTTCTTATGTATTAACACATCATGTTCGTGCTGCACTTTGATTTATCTGAAATCTTATATTCTTGTTTAGGTGAGATTAAACCGGTGACCACTAGGGCATGGGAGAGGGAGGTGGCGGTCGTCGCCACCATCTGACTCTCGAGTCTGGAGAGCAATTACTTCAGTTATACGCGTACAGATCAAGTCCTCTCAGAACGGTGAGCTTTTCACGGATTTGCTTTGAAAAATCTGTAGATCTGGCCAAATAATACCTACTAAAATTTGTCTTTTAGGGTTTGTTCTACTTTCTTTCAATAGCGACTGTTGGGTTGTTTCGCTTAGTCCTTCATTGGAAACAGAAATGGCATATCGCTTTTCGTGCCACTCGTTCAACTTTCGCGTTTGCCGATTTTGTATATATAATGTGAGTTTGGAAGAAGAAATTTGTCTTTTTATTACCTTTGAGTATGTTCAGAGACGACCATGATGTAGAGGAATTTCATCCTATTCAAACGATGCGGCGAAGCTTTAGGGCACCACCGCTCGTATGTACATTTTTGTCTCTGTTTGGTGGTGTACTTTCCTTTACGTATTTGACAATGCAGGTCGTCCCTCGAGAAGACGGATCTATGCGAGAGGTAGACGAAATTCGATGGTTCGTATATCGCAGGCTGCATTACATGTGGATTGAAAAGGAGAAGAAAGTTTGCGATGATGACGACGAAAGAGAGGGGGAATGGATAATCCCTGGAGATATCATGAGTCAGGTGAGGTAGAGTTCACACAAACCATTGTTCTTCTCATTTTTAAATTTTGGTCACATCTTCAAAAAACATCTCTAGTTGAATTTGCGCGAAGTGAAGTAGTGAGATCATTTAGAAAATTGAACGATACTCATAACGAATAATAGTCTTACTTGTTTTGAAAAGCTGTCGTTTTGTCATTGATAAAATCCTTTATGCACAATTTTAGTCCCCTCCGCACATATTTCATGAAGCAATCTCAACAGGAACTGGTTTCGATGAACACCAAGTCAGTCAAGTCCAATTTTGATTTTTTTTGCGCATTTCCAAGATACTGTTCATCGATGAGTTATTGTCCGCAGGTTTCTCAACGGCTCACTACATACGGGTTAAATTCTATAGAAATACAGCTGCGGCCTTTACCTGTCCTTCTGTTCATGGAAGCTATCTCACCTTTTTATATATTTCAAATTTTTAGGTAAGTTTTTGTGAAATCAGAGCGACTTTCTATCAGCATCTTTCTAGTGTTACTGTTTGGTATAATGATGAATATGCTTACTATGCATCCGTTATTGTTATTATGTCCGTTTGTTCTATCATCATGGATGTACTCCAGACTAGAGGACAAGAAAAACGGTGATTTTTGTTTTTTGCGTACTCCCTGAATTTAGGAATTATGAATTCGGTACCGGCTTCACCACATCTTTGTTGGTCATGGTGATTTAGTTTGCAGCCAAGTCCTGCGCAGTTGAAATTCGTCATAAGCCCATATCCATTTTAGTTTGCGTGCCATGGTTCATTCAAGTAGCGAAGTAGAAGTAATTCGCAACGGTGGTGCCGTCATGCGTGTGAGCAGTGAGCAGGTGAGTTTTAAAGTTTTTTTTTTCAAGATTTTGGTCCATATTTCTAGCTTGTACCTGGTGATATCCTTCTCATTCCTCCTCATGGCTGTATCCTACAATGTGATGCTGTGCTCATGAATGGAACAGTGATTGTGAATGAAAGTATGCTCACCGGCGAGTCTGTTCCTGTCACTAAGGTGTTATTCATCACCTAGACCAGCATGTTTCTCCACCTTATCATTTCTGTTAACCATTGTTTTCACTTTTTTGAGGTTGCTCTTGTCGAAGATGCGCATGATGCTCATTTCTGCATCGAAAAGTATTCGAAACATGTACTGTTTTGTGGAACCCAGGTTCTCCAGACCCGATATTATCGAGGTCAGAAAGTGAAGGTAGCGTCTCTCAGCTTGTTGCTTTCTCGTTAGGAGTTCTATACAAGGTAAAAACTTGATTTGTTTTGCATCTTCTTTTTTTGAGGCTATTGTGCTGAGGACTGGTTTTTCCACAATGAAGGGTCAACTTGTTAGATCGATCATGTATCCAAAACCTGTCGATTTTCGATTCACGAAGGACCTTTTTAAGGTAACTTGTTAGATTGGAAATGGAAAGTTTCCTTTCAACCGTTTATTACAAAGAAGTGCAACTTACTGGGTTTTCATGGGGATTAATACTCATTAGTCAACAGAGACCTCATTCTCATTTGTTTTTCTTGCCCTCAGATGGAGTCTTCCTTTTTCTTTTCCAGTTTGTCGGGTTCCTCGGTTGTATATCTGGCTGCGGCTTTGTTTATACGATTATTATTATGGTACTGCGAGGTAGCAGTTTGCGTCGAGTAATTGTGCGTGCTCTTGACATCATCACTATAACTGTCCCTCCTGCTCTTCCAGGTCAGACGCTTGAAAGACTTTGTTTTTTTTTCGGTCGTATTAATAAGATTTTTACAGCTGCAATGTCCGTGGGTATAATTAATGCGCAGCTCAGATTAAAGAAGAAAGAGATCTATTGTATCTCGCCGTCTACCATCAATACATGCGGTGCAATTAATGTAGTGAGTAAGGTTATCTTCGCACTAAAACCATTTTTTGGTAGTAAGAATCAGGGAGAGTCTTTTAGGTTTGTTTTGATAAAACGGGTACTCTCACTGAAGATGGCTTAGATTTTCACGTTCTACGTGCAGTAGCAGAGGCAGATGCTTCCGAGTTGCCGAGCTTTACGACCGAAAGCAGCCGGATGAACCGCGATGAGTTGCCTCAGCAAGGGGAACTCGTTACTGCTATCGCTACGTGTCACTCCCTCACTAGGTGCGGAATGCTTGTGTGCTTATGCCTTCAGAACTTTCAGAAGTTGACTTTAGAATCAACGGAATACTGCATGGAGATCCTCTAGATCTTATACTTTTTCAACAAACTGGCTGGGTTCTGGAAGAGGCTTTTGCTGACGAGTCCGACCATGACGAAACGGAATTGTATGACATGATTCAGGTAAACAGTGCAATGTTCGAGATATACTCTGAGGGCCGCATGCACTAACATCCCCGCGGGGAGGGGATCGCAGCTTAAAAGAAAGCTTTATATTTCGAAACTCCAGATACCTGGATTTCACGTTGTGTACCTATCCGTAAGTATTCCTATTACCCTTCACTATGAACATGTTGAACAGGAGCAAGAAGCTGTACAATCCGCATTTTCCAGCTTTTGTATGATCCCTGATGATCCCCGGCGCTTTTCTTCAAAGTCGTTTTTCTTTCTCCGAAGTTAACGAAGAGTCTCCAGAGTTGTGCAGATTGTCTAACCCGACAGTGCTAAGCATGTTGCTGCTAAGAACAAATGATGTTTTGAAGTCATGAAATTTGCGATGATCCGCAGGTCGAAATTTGAGGCTTACCCAAAAATTCGGCTTTTCAAAAAGTCATTTGTTCTCATCAGCAACATGCTTAGCAGTATTGTGTTAGATGTTCAGTACAACTTTGGAAGGTTTTTGTTAACTTCGGACGAAGAAAAATGACTTTAAAGAAAAGCGCCGGGGATCATCAGGGATCATACAAAAGCTGGAAAATGCGGTTCGTAAAGCTTCTCGCTCCTCTTCAACATGTTCATAGTGAAGGGTAGTAGGAATACTTACGGATAGGTACACAATGTGAAATCCAGATATCCGGAGCTTCAGGACATGAAGCTTTCTTCTGAAGCTGCGATCCCCTCCCCGCGGGGATATTAGTGCATGCGGCCCTGACTCTAGTCGTTTTTCCAAACTAGTGAATATGTTTTTGTGTGTCATACGAAAATTTATTATCTCCACAACAATGCATAGTTTTTCATTCGAGTGATCAATTGAAAATTTTGATTGTATACCTCATATGATGCCACAACATGAGCTTGTCGCTTCAGCCAACGATCATAAAGCCATCACCAAAGCTGAACCGGGGAGATGAAGAATATTCGATCATTCGCCAATTCACGTTCAGGTGAGGACCTGAGTTGTGCTCGAATTGGCTGTGAAATCTCAACTACATCTTTGTCGAAAAGGTTTTCAAAAGTATCTGAACGCTTTGCAGCTCGTCGCTGCAGAGGATGTCCGTTATCGTGTTCAATCCATCGAGCAGTGATCGCAGTATGACTCTATACTGCAAGGGATCACCTGAAATGATACATTCGTTGTGTGATCCTAGCAGTGTTCCACCCGATTACTTTGTAAGTAAGTCGACTAACTGCCCAATTTGAAACGCAGAGTGGTTTAGACTATTGTGAATAACTACGCGCAGCATGGCTTCCGATTGATTGCCGTTGCGCGAAAAACTCTGCATCTGAATTTCAACAAAGCCGCTAAGGTGCCGAGAGCAAAGGTAAAATTTTTTGTATATATTCTATTTTCTTATCGATGACCTCTTTTTATACCCTTTTCTTTTTCATCACAGTTATTGCTTGATGGATACTTGGTAACGTAGAAATAACTATTTTAGGTGGAGTGCGACTTGCAGTTACTTGGCTTGGTGGCGATGGAGAATCGTATCAAACCAGTCACACTTGGTGTGATCAACCAGTTAAATCGGTACACTCTCTCGATTTCTTCACGTTGATCTTTTAACCCATCTTGACCCTTGTAGCGCTCGGATCAGAACAGTCATGGTTACCGGCGATAACTTATTGACTGCAATGAGTGTTGCTAGAGAGTGTGGCATAGTACGCCCGAACAAACGAGCATTTTTGGTAGAGCACTGTCCAGGAGAGGTAGATGTGAACGGGCGAACAAAGATAGCCGTTAAGCAGGTTTGCATATCGAAAAATGCAGCGAATGCTAGGTGTATTTATGTTTCAGTCTGTTTCGTCCTCTGGCGACATTCTCGATGATGACTCAATCATAGTCAAGAACGTGAAAGATGCAGAGCTGGGACAGCTTATTCAGAGCAGCTACCACCTTGCCATATCAGGTTGGGATGGGTTTGGAGTCCTATCTCTATATATAAAGAATCGTAAAGTGCATACAAAATCGTCAAAAAGCGGGAAAACGAGCGGGTTTCAAAGCGAGCGCGCGTGCTTAGCACCTTTGAGATTACTATTTCACTAGCACATTTTTTAGAAATGCATCAGTAGGAGCTTTGTACCTATAAATTCTGAATATCGTGATATCGTGTCAGTTATAAGCCACTGGCTGGCCAATTACGAATCAACTTCCTAAAATTCTGATCCTTCTTGAGATCACGTTTCGAATCAGCGTTTCCAGAGTTGTTTGTTCCAGACAATGTTCAACACATCTTTTGTTCAATTCCATTTTTGCAGGGCCTACTTTCGCGGTCATTACTCACGAGTATCCTGAACTTCTTGATTCACTAGTAACTGTGTGCGATGTGTTTGCTCGAATGGCACCTGATCAAAAACAGCAGCTTATAAATTGCCTTCAAGAAATCGGATACACAGTTGCAATGTGCGGCGATGGAGCAAATGATTGTGCAGCATTAAAGGTAGAGCAGAAAGATGTTTGAATAAAACATATCTACGCCCTTCAGGCAGCACATGCAGGAATATCACTTTCCGACGCTGAGGCTTCGATCGCCGCGCCTTTCACTTCGAAGGTTGGTTTCGCTAACAGTGGCTCTATGTCGTTTTTTCCTAGCAAAAGTCTGCATTTAGAAGACTACTCTTGCATTTCTTTTTATTGTAATCCTTCGCTAAACCTTTCTTTGTTGTTTTGTCAAACAACGATTCTAGGTTGCTGACATTCGGTGCGTTCCAACGATTATAAGCGAGGGAAGAGCTGCGTTGGTCACATCATTTGGAATCTTTAAATACATGGCTGGCTACTCTCTGACACAATTTGTCACCGTAATGCTCTTGTACTATATCTCAAACATCCTTACGGATGGGCAGGTCAGGCTATAAACTCTACTGTTTGTTTAGTAGATAATTGATCCGTTTTAGTTCATGTATATCGACATGTTTTTGATAACTCTGCTGGCTGTTCTTTTTGGAAACACTGCGGCCTATGAGAATCTCTGTCCGACGCCGCCTCCTACACGATTGTTGTCTGTTGCCAGTATCTGTAGCGTGCTTGGACAACTAGCAATAATGGGTAGCACACAGGTGAAACGAGTTATTGATCTCGACTTGATCTTGGCATCTCATCTGATTAGCCGAAATTGTGAAAGCATGATGATGTATTTCAGCTGCTTGTGTTTCTGATGACCACAACCCAGCCATGGTTTGTTCCTTACACTGCTCCACGTGGATCAGATACTGAAGATAAAAGGAGTATGCAGGTAGTAGAATTCTTCCGCCTTGTTGTTGCATTGCACGATAATTGCATCGACAATCCATAATTTACTAAGCAAAATAGTTATGTGTTTCAGGGAACGGCTGTTTTTTACGTATCTGTATTCCAATATATCACTCTTGTCGTCGTCTACTCGAAAGGACCCCCTTATCGCGATACACTGTACAGCAACAGACCATTCTGCGCATCCATCGCATTTGTCACATTGGTAATTTTTCTCTTCATTTTTGATGCTGAGTTGGGAAAAGGTAATGACCTCAAAAACAATTGTGCGCATGAAGTGTGCACTGCAGCTGCACCTCAGAGTTGTACACAGCATCTATCAAACATTCTTCTTGTAGGCCTCAAATAGCCTTCGGGCGTCCTGAACTTTTGGATACTATTATAATCAACTACTACATCATCACTAAAATCACCGCACAAATTGGCAGCCAAACCCTCTGAAAAGAAAAAAATTGGTGTGGGTCTCGAAGGGTGTGCGGAGCACATTCTCGTGTGTGCTCTTCTCTATCCGGAAATGCCTTTTAATCCCGTTGACGCGTTATTATATGGCAAGCATAAATGCTCGCACACCTTCAACATGTCAATGTTTCCCAAGACAAATGTCCGGGCACCCTTCACGGCTCTTGAAAACCAGCTTCAGAAGGAAGGTGGTCCTTGAGAGATTCGCGCTTTTCGAGTTTCAAATTTGGAGTCATCAGCTTGAATTGGCCTGGCTGGGACGAAATATGAAAGTCTTGGGAATATTCCCGGACCTATAACCTCTATCTAAAGCCCCGGATTATCCCACGCGATTTCAGTTGCGACGCCACTTGGCAATACTCCAGTTGCTTTAATTTGTCGCGAACTCAATTTGTGCACACGGAAAATAGCACATTTTATCGGCACGCAAAAGTTTAATATAACAAACATTTGTGATCTGCGAGTGTGGGTTTAAAGAGATTCGGCAAATGGCCAAATCGCGTGGCAACTGAAATCGCGAGAGGTATGCTCAGGGCCTAACAAATCGCTCGCATTTATCATTGGTGCAAATAACCGGTGCAAAACATACAGCAATATTGAACGTATTCCATACCCTTCATGCTTTTGTTGATGCAAAATCGCGAACCCAGTACTTGACCATTAGTTACCCAATTTTTGGAACTCGGGATTTCACTTGCAGGAGGGACGACTTAGTCAGCCAATCCTACATAGTTTTCTGGGTTCTTCGGTTTTCTCAAAAAAAAAAAATCTTTGCGTAAAACTGTACAAGATGAATCTTGTGTCGTTGAAGTGACCCAGAGTACTCGGTTGAAGTTTTGAGAAGGCAGATTAATGTAAAATATTAGATTTGCGTAGGCAGGCTATGCGAGCACAGCTCTAGCACCTGTAATTCTGCAGCAACGAGGAGTTGGTGTTCCTATTCCTGGCCTTTGCACGAAAACTCTATATTAAACATGAAGTGCATAAATACCCTAAAGAGGTTTTTGTGCTTAGTGCCCCAATGCCAGTTGACTTTAGAAGCTTGGAGACTGGGAGAGTTTACCTGTCTTCAAATTAATGTATTTTAGTTATCACTTGTAATTATATTATGGGCTCCTGCTTGGTTGCGCGACTTCATGGGCAACATGGATCTACCATCCTTCGAGTATCGCAGCCTTCTCGTGCTCATTGCCTGCGTAAATGCTGTCGTTTCTTTCCTGTTTGAGAAGGTCTTCGTCGAGCATTTCTTGCTTGATTATATGGAAAGGTGGGTTTACAGACTCAAAACCAGACAAATAAGAATGAAGGAAGTTATCATTGAGATCGACATTGATTCAAAAGATATTCTGCCATTTCCCAAGGATACTACGGAGAGATATCTTTTGTTGTTACAAGATGTTAGCACAGAAGCTTGTAACTTACTGACCACTTCTCTTGAATTCACTGACTGTGAACAAGAATAAAATTTTTGCGGCTTATTAAGTCTGTGACTTTTGATACGAAATTTTGACATTCTTAGGCAGATGAAGCGGAAACGAGTCGAAGCGAACTACTCAGATGAGTTGTATGCCAAAAATGGGGGTGCTCTCTATGAGCGCATACTTTCTCGAATCGGTACGGAGCCATCGTGGTTTCTTCCTCGCCTCAGTTGTTCCTCGTGAAAGGGCTCTAAAAAAGAAAGAAGAACGCCTATCTAATCATATTGCAGCATTTCGAATCCATGTTTGCTCATGTATTGTTTTATTCCTTCACCTGTTGTTCTAGCTAGTTTCTAATCAAAAAGTTTCTGAAACGCATTCTGTACTTTTGTTATTGTTGAGATTTCTATCTGTTGATTGCTGATGACCAGCACTGATCTTTTTTTCCACATTTCAAGCTTTAACAGCTATATAGTTCCATGACTCCTGTGCCTTTTTCTATTGTTAACACTTGCACTTCTCAAGGTACATGATTGTTCGGTGATTGCCGGCTGAGAAAAGGATTTAGCTGATTTTTGCATCACATTCTCAGCATTGTTGATAGGTGCACGTTTATTTGGTGTAGCGATCATAATAAAAGCGATTCTATCTTCGAATTCGAAAAGTGCAAGACCTATTTCAAGTTATCGGCTGCTGAGATTGTAGGATTTTGTCTTGGAAACTGATAAGGCGACTAGTCTTATTTGGGAGACGGTCAAGAGGCGCGATTTTTCTGACTGTCACCAACTCAAAACTTCAGTTTCGTGCTATGGGAGTGTTCCAAAAGTGCCGGACAAAGTCCATTGGCTTTCTAGCTATTTGTTAACCGCTTGATAAGTTTTGACGACTTTCGGTGGAAAACTGACCGAAATATTTACAAAATTGCTATTAACTGCATTTTCATAAATTTATGACCTTTAGCGATTTTGTTTGGAATCAGTTTCAGGATGATAAGATCGTACAACCCATACAATTATCTAATGTATTTCTTTCGAAGTTTCAGGTAATTCTAGATATTCAAAAACACTAAATATGTGCTATATGCTGCCCATCTGGCAATGAGAATCGCGCCTCTTAACATACACCCGTTTCATTTTAGGCTCACATTCTTTATTGGTTTTCTCGAACCCATCTGTCAGGACTATGAGCCCCGAAAATTCCCCTCTTCTGAAATTATTAGAGCTCGCTCCTTGATTTTTGCCAAATAGGGGGCAGAAAATGGGGAGAATGGACTGTGTATTTCCTTGATGGGCGATCAAGGTTGAGGCTCAGAAGTCCGCATTTTAGTACGTAGCTGGTACCTGAAAATCTCTCAACAACAGGCAGACTCGTTTGCAACTTGAAAATGTAGTTCGGATGCGGTCATACTTCTAACGAAATGGATCCGGAGCCGTTGCGGGTCACAGTGCGCAAAATTTAAATGCTTATCGCGGGCACGTGCGGCATGTTATCGCGAGAAGTATAAGCGTAGCAAATGTAAAGGATGCAGTTGATGCGATAAGCATTCAAATTTCAATCGCGCTTTGTCGTTCGGATCCGGATCCCGCTCTAAATACGCGGATCTATGATTTCGCAATTCCATAGCTTATGGCAGGAATTCCACCATTTTGAGACGACCTGAAGGAGCATAGCTTCTGGTTCACCAAAGTCGGATATAGGGAGCGTCTTCCAGGGCCCAGCAGAGTCGGCTTCTAAGCTTTCTGAAAAGGAAGTCCCCTCCCCCCTCCTCCTCTGAGTTTCGCAAAATTTTACAAAGTCTCTTTTGTCCCTTTCCGGGAACGTCGCTGAAGCAAAACCTAACTTTGTCTTTTTGGACCCACAAAGACGATATCCCCTTTGCTTTTTCGTCCCGAAAACGAAGTCCAGCCTGCTTTCAAACGATCTGTGCCAGGCCCTGGCGTCTTCTCTCTTCTGGCCAAACCAAGTCCTCTGCAAGGCTTTGGGTGTATCTGCGCGACTTCAGTCGACGCGATTTGGCAATACTCCCATCGTTCATAACTTATCGTAGGGGTTTCTGAATGCCCGGGAGACAGCGCAATTTATTGACCTACGAATATACCCGCTGCGCATTTGGGGTTTGCCATTATTAACACGTTGACGACCTTGTGCATACGCACGTATGCACGCCCGGACTCCCGTTTAGCATTTTCGTGCATTCGCGCATATGCACGCTAGTTTTTTGGGTGTAAACGAGAAGTTTTGAGGTAACTTTTATGCAGTAATACTATTGGTGCCCTGGTTGTCTTAAAGAACACAGGGCATCGCGGCAGCTGTTCAGAAGTTTTGGCCGCAAAATTGGGTAGTATGATTGTTTTTGATATGGTAAATACACGTTAATTACGTCTTTCCGAGAAGGTGGAAACTCTGTGCAGCTGTTTTGAAAGCAAAAAAGGATAATCAGGCAAAAAAAACCTGTTATCACAACGCTTTTCTCGAGAAAGGATTGCTCAGATATAGCCATTGCATGGTTTACTGAAGGGAAAATCGAGGCAAAAATCTTGATTTGTGTAAGTCCTAGTAAGACTGTGATAAACATGTTTCTCTAAACATAGTTTGCATGTTTTATGAATAAGCGTCAAAAAGGCTCCCACATAATGTTTTCGTGCATACGCGCGTATGCATGGGCTAAATGCGCGAAGGACGTTAGTTTGAGTTTCGTCCAAAATGGCGCGGTCGTCAACGTGTTAAATCTGAAGACATCTGCCAAATTTCCAGACTGCATGGCGACTGAAATCGCCTGTGGTATGCCCGATGCCTAAAGTCTTCATGTTGTAGTAAACTCTGGACTCGGCTTATAAGAAAATTGGCTAGTCATCGGTCGCTCTTTCTCTTTTCAACTAGCACGAGATCAGCCATAAGTTTGAAAGCAAATCTGTATGTACATGGAACGGAAGGAATGTCTAGCTAGTCTGTCGGCAGTTGCGCTTAGTAATCATGTTAGTGAGAAATAGGTACAGTATTTCAAGTTGGTAAGTGCATACAAAAGCTTCCCATTTCTGCCACTCGATATTTTAGACTAACAAAATCATAGTTTCTGTTGAATTCTTAACAATATGTAGAAAAGGCAAATATGAAAAACTGGTACAGGATATTTCAATCCCAATTTTATTCAACATTCAACGACTAAAATCGGCTACATGGTGTTCAAGAGATTCGTAAGATACCGCTCATAGATAGTCAAAAAAGTTGTGCACTTCACCGCAGTCCGCGTCGCATCGCCATATCTTGGTTCAGAATGGATAATTGAGAATCCAATGAAAGCGTTCGACCCACCTCGGCGAGGCGCATCTTCTGATGCATAGAGCTCGTTCAAATACGATAAGCGGTTAGAATCCACAGATCTTTTTAGATTTTTGCTTGCAGTAGGTTACTCAGTGTGCTTTTTAGATTGCACTCACTGAGTGACATACCATAGGCAAAAATCTGAATTAAATTCGTGTGATCTGAGTGACCACCTATTCAAACGGGCACTTCTATATAGACGAAGATGCGTCTCGTCGGCTGAGCCGAACGGTGTCCTTCGGTTCCAGATTCATCCACTCTGAACCATGATTTGGCGATGCGACGAGGATTGCGGTGAACTGCGGCGGAGTGCGGCAACTTTTTTGACCAATTATGAGCGATATTGTATGATAGACCGATAGAAAAACAGTAGATTGCGCACGGCAATTGGTTAAAGTTTTCCGACTTTAAGCCGACTTTATGACTATTGAAAGAACAAATAAGGAGTAAAAACCTGAAAACTACAGTATGAGAGGTCATCATGAATTGCATAGTGAAGAGAAGAAGTGTCATACATTATTCTATAGAAAAGATGCATCTTCCAATTGTTTTAGGAAAACAACGACCAGTGAAACAGCATACTGGCATCTTCATCGAAAGGCAAAACTTCTGAAAGACCTATGTCGTGTGGAAAATAATAGTCAAGGTAAATTTTTTTCCCTATTGCCGTGCGCGAAAATTAAGTGAATAAACCCAAGTGGAACAATTTGTTTATTAACGACTTTGTGTGGTTTTTTTTCGAGTTCTTAAGGAATTAATGTGTCAGAAGTTAATGGCTATGATTTACAAGGACATGGATGCTTCAGTGCCGAGTGTTCACATTCTCTCTGATTTATATCGTAGGCAAATGTGATGTCACATGCGTAGTCGACAACGTCAACATGGCCATGTCACACTCCTTCGAAAGTACAAGAGAGCATGAATCATGATGAATGACTTCGGTCAAATGGTGTGGAGCTTGTGGGCCATAAAATTTCACAGGTGCAAAGTTGTAGAGTGTAGCTATTTTTGGGGCGTAATAAATTTCCAGGGAGAGAAGTTAATGGAAAAGTATAGATAAATCACATGGATTGCGAAATAATGGGGTAGCTATTTGAGGCAAGCGGAAAAGATATACCAATGGTGTAAGGTATTTGTATGATCATTAGATCACAAAAAAGGTAATTTTGAATTTATCGAAGCTATGAGAAGTCTCCCATACCTAGTCAACGTTCAAAGAAAGCTGAAGCTCAATTCTATCTTAAACTTATTTGTGCTTGCTTCTTTGGCGTACTTGATGAGTCCGGATATCGGCATTTATATAATAATATCAGATTCATAGATGTGGCATATGTAAATCGACCAACTTAGAAAATCAACTTATCAAATTGCCTCAATAGAGAAAAACGAGTGCGTTAGCGCGCAGCAAAAGCATCACAAGGAATAAAAAAAGCGAAAAGCGAAAAAACCACAAACGAGGGAACATTGCTCTCCTATAAATTTTCATTATATGATCTCAAAAGTAACGGAAAAATCGGCGAGATTTCTGCGATGTTTGTTGGATTTAACGAGGACCAGCTGTTGTTTTATAGACAACGCTCTGACACAGATGCAGATTCGGCCGTTAGGAAGGTTTTCGACGGATTTGCTACTTCTTGATCCATATGGTCGCTACTTGATTTGTCTTTTCTCGTGAAAGTCCAAACAACTCCGAGATCAGCAAGAGAGGCGTTCAGCATGGTGAAGCGATAGTGCTGTGCCAACTAGTCGTGGTCCTGCCGGCGGGCCCAGACTCCGTCAGTTCAGAACTGGTGCTGATGTACTGGTCGTCAGCGGGGGGAAGGTGTCTTCCCCCCGGTGCTGCTGACTGCTGAAGTGCCCGCTGTGTGCGTCTCTCCGTCCTCTCTCTCGGAGGGCGCACCTTACGCGAGTGTTTGAAGGGCGAGCTTGATGGCCCATAAATGTAAATGCGAGCCATTGTCGATGTGGGCCTAACCAATCGATCTTCATCTGATTCCATACAATTCCACCTTGTTTTTCGTCCGCTTTACCGCTGTCTCGTACTTGCCTCTCTCAACCGATCGCTGTTCACTTCTGCTGAGGACAGAGATCGCCCGTTACTACTCTTCTGTCCATTAAAAAGCGCATTTATTGCAGCGCAGCAGTCCCTTCCGCTGGAGCCGCAGGCATGAAGCCGCTTCTCGTCCTGGTCTGTGCGCTACTGCACTTCCATACGGCAACGATCGTTCCCTATAACTGGCTGTGAGCTCCCACCTTCCTCTCTCACTCGTCAGCATTCACGAGCACTAAACCACCAGAACTGTTCAGATCGCTAGCTCTCCTAAGCTCCTCCGACTACAACCCGCTCCCCTACCATCATGGAGACCGAGCTCAGTACGAGATGCTTTGCAACAGGTTGCTGGGGTTGAATCCTGTGCAGAAAGCAGTTTGCGTACAGGTGATGACCAATTTTGAAAGCGAAAAAAATTAAATACTTCCAGTTTACTGAGTTTTTGCCCCGCTAATGGAAGATCGTAAATCTTTCGCGTGTCCGGAAGTGCCTTACTTGCCCGCTATTGATTGTATGAAGTAATGGAAGCCTTTTTATTTCTTCTAACTAGACACAATTTAAGCTAAGCTCTGGATAGCACTAGTGAACCGCATACATACAAATGAACGATGCCTTACACAGTCGGAGACATCCCCTGCAGAAATGCTTCAAATTGCCTACACCAAAAACTCTAGATTTTTGGCAAACCCTAGCGCACTTTTCCGAAATCGCCTATTGTCTAAGCAGTTGCACATTTCCCGCCCTTTGGACGATCTATCTGGCCTGTTATGTTATTCTTACTTTTTTTGCATTTTGAGAAAATGTAAAGAAAAAGCATGAAGTATTTTTGTAACAAAGTAGATAAAATGCTTGCAAAGAAGCTCTTATTTCCATTTACGTTTTTATTTGTTTGCAAAAACAGATAATATTTCCATCTATGTTTTTGTCGAGTTTCTTGCAAGTAAAAATTTGAAAATCCTTCCCTTGATTCAGCATTTGAGATCATGCATTTACAGAACCCGTTCTCTATACCATTCGTAGCGCGTGGCATACGGGAAGCCATCTACGAATGCCAGATGCAATTCAAATACGAAAGATAAGCATTTTTCATTTTTGATGTCTGCTCTGAATGTACGATATTTAAGTGGAACTGTTCTGATCGGCATGAGATTACTCCTACACCACATGGGAATTTTCAAGACATTTTTGGGAAAACCTTGCGATCAAGTAAGCTCTGGTATATCCCTCCACTGTAGTAATTCAAATTTTGAAATTTAGCGACAAAGGAGACTGCATTCTTGGTTGCAATTGCCAGCGCGGGCATCGTTCATGCGATCACGAAGGGTTGTAATACTGGAAATCTCACCGATTGCGGCTGTGACAGTAAGCCGGCACTTCAGAGATACGTCGAAGGGGTGCTGATGTTTTTTATTTATCATATTCATTTATACATAATACAAAAATGTGTGCCGAGAAAAAAAAGTAAAAATACGTAATGCCTATACATTGTTGCCATATTATTAGGATGATGTAAAAATGACCTTTTTCCGGGCTTTTCAGGGCATCCTTTCCTGTGAAGATTTCTTTTTTGAAAAAGATCTAAGCTTTTTTCATGCACTATTTAATGATGTCTAGAAGAGTTCTATCTGTTTGAAGATTACAGAGCTTCAAAAATAAACGCATTTACAACCAGAATTTCAATGAATTCACTTTTCTGGCCAGAATTAAAACGCTAATGAACGGATCTTCTTTGAAAAAGCTACTATTCGTAAAAAAAATTGTCCATACCATACACACATAAGTATTTTCTTTGAAATTATTCAAACTAAAATTTCGGCACCTTAACATGGACAGCCGTTGCGGTCATTCTATGACCCACAAATTTCTTTTGAAGAAGGCAATCGTCATTTCTGTAAGCGCAAGGATAGGGCATTTGTTGACAGTTTTAACTTTACTCTTTAGAAACTTTTAGACGCTCGCGGGAAATCGAAAAACCTTATTATTAGGAACTTCGAGGCCTACCGAGATGTCGAAAAAGCTAATTGATTTTGATTTTGATTTTTTTTCGTTCTCTTCGCAAATATTCTATGTCCAACCCCTTTTCATCTTTTTTCGTCCTACTGGCTTGCATATACAATAGGCAAGTTATCATTCTCTAGCCTTAATTAGGTCACGAAGCCCCACCTTCCAACCGCCAATCCAGGGAAATCAAGTGCACCATTTATACTAACAAACCTTGAAGAGAGTTACGATTTGTCAAACACAAGGTTCTAGAAAAAAAGTTGTTTTGTTTTTCAACCCATACTTTTCCGTCTGTTTTTGAGTTGAATATAGTTGGATGTGCGCTACATTGCAAAAGGTTTGCTGCCTCTGAGAACCTTCATCGCATTCACGAATGCAGATTTCTTGGGAAGTTGTAGCATGTCAAAATGAGAATTCTCAAAACAACCATTATTTTTGCATCAACCTAATAATATCACCCACTTTATCATTATATTACGGTTTTTGTGGGATAGAAGTTCTAGAGTTTTTGATACCTTGCTTCTCACTAAATAGCCTCAAGCGCTCTAATATTCAGAAAATGGTGTTACTTATTTTAATTCCCTGCCCGTGACGCTCGTTCTGATACAAACAAATTTCAAATGCATTCAGGATCATCCAAATTCATTTGGCCGACATGAACAGTTTTCTTGGGGAGGTTGCTCAGACAACGTCCCTTATGGACAAAAGTTTGCCAGACAGTAGGTTTTTTTTACACTTTCAAAAAGATACAAAATGATTCATCTCTATTTCAAGATTCTTGGATGAGTACGAAAAACAGCAGTTTGAAAAGGATCGCAACGTTAGCCATCTCGTGCTGAAGCATAATTTCCTCGTTGGGAGAGAGGTGAGTCTACTGCGGAGTTGCTTGTTTGCAAATTATACTTGTCATTCACATTCTGATTAGATAACCAATTTTTCGTTTGCGTTTTTCATGAAGGGACGACTCTAATATCAAAGTTTGCATTTATCTTAACTCAATAAAAAATTATTGCATCTTATTTTCCATATGGTTCCAGACCCTTCCTTCCATAAGATATTTTTCATCTAATGTCCTTTGAATTTTGTCAGTCTGTTAAACTTTTATAGAAATATACAGATCCACCTACAATCGAAATTTCCTTGCATTCACTTCCTTATCCAAAATTCAAGAGCGAGTTGACTTTCCTCCTAATCATGGGTAGCTGTTGCGGTCATTTTATGACCCATAATTTTCTTCTGAAGAAGTCAGTCGCCGAAGCTTTGCGTAATTCTGTAAGCGTAGGGCTAGGACATTTATCAGCAGTTTTTGCAAAAACATCCAGCTGTTCAGTACGTACAATACCACCCGTAATTTGTGAAAAAAAAATGGCGGCGGCACTTAACTTACGCGGCGCCGCCGAAGTTAGGTGACTTTTGCCGCGTCGCGCGACAAAAGTCGGCGGAAAAGCGGCAAAAGTCACCTAACTTTGTCGCGCAACGCCTAACTTTTTATAAAAAAAGACCTTATCTTGATTCAAAATTTATGAATTCTATATATAAGAGTACCATTCAACTCAGCTCGGCGAGGCGCATCTTCCAATATACGGATGTGCCTAGTTGTGGGATATAAGTTTCTTTCCTGGAATTTTAGTGTAAATGGACCATTCAGTGTGCTGATTCCAGAGGCTACGTACATATTCTATTGAGCACAGCAGAAATAGGGCAGGTATAGTTTAAGAGCTCATTCTGCATGGATATATGTGAAACTGGGCAGCTCATTCTGCATGGATATGTGTGAAAGTGGGCTTTTCTCGGCGAAGTATGACGGGTCCCAAAATGCAGGAAGACAAAGGGAAATGGTTGGAAATCGCATGAGAAGCACATATCGCGGAATGCCGCGCGTGCTGTGCAATGTACAATACCACTCACAGAACGGGAATTTCGCGAAATTCCAGAAATTTCGCGATTCCGGATTATCGCAAATTATGCAGCGCCATAACTTCCTTCGGAATTAATATATTCTAAATTCGAAAGCAGCACTGTGTTCATCTCGTCAAGGCGAATCTTTCGACATACGTCATGTCATCTATATCTTGTTTCCAGTTTTCTCAAATTGCTCTGAGGAGGTCCCTTTGCAAGTATGTAACGCAGCGCCTATCCAACTTGAAAGCTTCCAGTAAGCACCATTCGATAGTGCTCTTCTTGTACATTATAGTGCGCTAGTAAGCTGCCGCAGACTTCTTTTCAAAAGAGAAAAAAGCGTTGGTAAATTCTGGAAAAATCACTCGTTTCCAGATTCTACTCGCCGTAACTTTCTTTGGAGTGGATATTTTCTGAATCCGAAAAATGCATTGTGCTCAGCTCATCAAGGCAAATCTTTCGGTATGCAGAATGTCCTTGATATCTCGATTTCAGTATTCTCAAAACTTTCTGCGGACGTCTCTTCGCAAAGGTGTGAAGCAGCGCGTATTGCCCCCAGTACATTCAGAAAGAAATTTTCGATAGTACTTCTTTTGTAGATTATGGAGCGCTAGAAAGTAGCCGCACACTCCTTTTCAAAGGAGTTAGAAGGGCTGGTGAATTCTGGAAAAATCATGTCCTTCTAAATTTTTCTCAACGTAACTCTAAAATATGAAGCTCTCTTGCTAAGCAGATGTGATTTTCGTAACCAGCAGGTCGGATAACCCTTAAGTGCAAGTTTTCCAAGATGTTCAAGTAATTTCATTTTTTCTCGTTTTACGCTCTGAAGCTGGCCGATGGATTTTGGTCAAAATGTTCATGCTCTTGAATTGTAAGGAAACTTCGCTTATAGAGGTTTTCAAACACGCTCTTTACGAAAATCGTGGTCTTTGAGGATTACAGGGTCTTTTTGGTGAGATACGGTGAGGTGACTGTAACTGCATCACGAAAGCGCGTAAATTGGCCCGCACTTCTCGCGTATCTGTCAGCAACCTTGCCTGCTTGCTTTTCTCAGTCAAAGTTACTAGGAACTGCGCTACCGAATGGTGCATGAATCAGGCTCCAGTCTGTAAAAATCACGGAGTTACGAGCCTAGTACTCTGCGTTGATACCACTGCTT